TTTAATTCTATTATTACTATCCATCCATCCATTTTCTATACCTATTCATCCTGCTCAAGGTTGCGGTGGGCTGAAGCCTCCTAGACTGCACTCGGCAAGAGTCGGGTCACACTACAACACATGCAGACACAAACACATTTATTAATCGGTAAATTAGATTGACCCTCTTGCTGTGAGGTGACTGTGGTAACCTGAGCCACTGCGCCAGACTCTATTTATACTATAAATTAAAATGTGTACATGCTGAGCGCGGCCTGGCACTAGATATTAAAGCTCAAAAATCACTGCTGGTAATATTCAGTATATATATAAAAATAACCATCAAGACATTTATCTTTTTTTTACTTTAGATGCATTACCTGTTAATGGGAAACTGAATTTCACATTTCAAAGTCTACAGGCTTTGAAGAGCAACTGCATGTGTATATATGATTTAGGTGTTGGTTGGGTGTGAAGACTACAAGTATGAAAATGAAAAACATCTGCGGCTTTGGAGTTAGGAAGAAGTGAGTTTATCAGCCAGCTCCTCATCTCTGGTTGAGGCTAACAGCTCGAGGCTACATTAGTTGCAACTTGCATAACACACCAGACACTTCCACTGAACTGTCAGAGGTCGAGTTGCATTGTGGGTAATGTAGGTGCTAGGTTTTGACAAGAAAGAAGATTGCATGGAATAAAAAGAAAATACAATATCTCTTGTTCGGCTGCATCAGTTTTGATACTTGTCTGTCCATTGTAAGTCAGACAATGTTATAAAAGTGTGATGTTGAATCAGTGCAGCACTGTTTTACTACAAGACATCCTAAAACAAGGGAGTGGAGTGTTAGGTATCCAAGAGGGATAAACAACACACAAATTTATTTATCCATTCAGGAGATTAATAGATGGCGTATGAAGGGCCTTAACAGTGCCAATATGGAAATTAAAAAAGTGTCACACTTGGCTGAGGTCAGAACTTGCTGCTATGCCTTTTTGTAGAAAATAAATGTGATTACATTTTGGCCAGATTTGTGTCCAGCTAGTTTTTTGGCAGCGTGAGGATTATGCCTTTGACTTTTTACTTCATTTAAAGTTGAGACCTGTCTGTGCCAACGCTGATAGCGGTGCCAGATCAGTCTGAGCCCAAAGCAAGCCTCAATCTACCGTGTCAGATTGAGGATGTTAGAGCTACTTGTGCTGCACACCAGGCCATTATAACTCTTTGGGGGTGGGCAGGGTGTGGGGGCAGGGTGGGGTGCCTGGGTCTTTAACCGCTGATCCCCGATCAAGTGGAAGACCACTGGGGATTAGAAATAGGATTAAGTGACCCACAGCTCTTCACGAGTTGACTGTCATCCATCCATCTAAAGTGTATATTACATTTATCTCTAACTACTGGGTCATATTTTTAAGCACGCTTTAAAAGGAGATTGCTTAGTCCCCCATCTATGATGCATAGTTATTCCAGCTTTTTCATTTGTATGCGAGTATGTTACTTCTCTGCTTATTAGAAATGGAATGTGAAATGTATGAGTGATGCATAAATCCATGTTTGAGTAGTATAATGTATATTTTAGATGCCAGCAAAAAGGCAGATTGTTCTGATTGAAAAGCAGCCACTACACTATAGAATCTGTGCAGTACATCTGGGAGTGGCACATATACACTCTAATGGAGAAACAGTAATCTGTAATTCACCAGACATAAAATAAGTGCTTCACGGTTCAGTGCGTGTGTGTGTGTATATATGTCAGTGGTGGTTCAGGCAGATATCCCATACGGAGGCGTATTGAGGGTCAAAGCACAGAGATGCCAAAGGCAAGGTCAGCAACTATGTACTTTAGTAAAGAGAAGCTGAACACCCATCATCATCTCCCATGGAGGAGATGGAGAAAGAGAGAGAGACAGCTAGTGAAGGATGGCAGCAAATGAGAGAGAGAGATAGAGTTTGGTGAAAGAACCCAACAACAACATGAAAATTGTCTATTCATGTTTCATCTGGGTGCTCTGCATACCTCCGAACATAATTAGAAAAATTTGTCCATTTTAACCGTAAATAGCCTCCTTTGCTTCCACTAACCTGAGCACCCATTTTCGAACCCCCTTAAAACTTTTATGAGAGCTAAACATAACAGTATCTATTTGAGCCAGCGAGGCAAATGAAAACAGGTTGAGAGTAGGTTGAGGAGACAGGCACATGGGGGAAGACAGGGAGGGATAGCGAGCACTACGAATTGGGTGGGCAGATGGTGCCGACATATGGGCCTGTTAGGGGCAAAATAAATAAATAAACACTCACACATAAATACTGAGATGAACTGTGAGTGCCACAAACTGTTGGCCAACTTAGCCAGCTGAGAGAGAGCACAACTAGGAGAGAGATACCACTGAAATTGCTCGCAGATTTGTAAATAGACCACCACTGCTGAAAAGCATGCGCAGACACTATTGTGATGGGGATGATAATAGGCTTTAGAGATGTGAGTCTTACTCTTCAAGTCGTTATCCATGTGTGCATTCTAACAATTCAGAGGGAAAAGATACACATACAGTAAAATGATCTGTTTTTTTATACGGATGCATCTGTGTGCACTAAATATAGTCTCCATACAACGGTTAGAGAGCAGCAAAGTTATTTTCCCATCTCTGAGCTGAACATCTTTTCTTCTGCTGTCTGGTTCAGCGGCTGCCGTGTCTGCCCTCCCTCCGCATTGCTATCTATACATTCTCCACCTCTCGTCTGCCTTCCGCTCATCCTCAAAGCCCGTGGCTCAGTTAGAGAGACGGCCAGGTTTCGAGAGGTGATATCCTCCAGCAAACAAACGGCTGCTTTGTACAACATGTTCTCTGTCCGCATCACCTGCGCGCTCCCACCCAGCTCCAGTTCTCCAAGATCCAAATGGAGGAGAACTGAAGGACCAACACTGTACGGGCTGTGTACATATTCCTGTTATACTTGGTCCCCTGTGTAGGTGTCTGTCCTTGTATATGTGTATGTACTCTACATGACGCACAGATGTTTGTGTGCATGTACATAAATTCCACATGTGATCATCAGATTATGTATTTTTTTTTTTTAAACAGTTGGCTGGGCTTCACAGCCTCACACCTTTTCCTGACATCATCTGTGCACCAAAAAGAGCATGTTGTGATCACTCACAGCTGTTTACACTGAGAGCAGGAATAGTAATAGTGACAGTATTAAGAGAGACAAATCTTAAGGCAGCTCTGGGGATTAAAATTGGAGCATGCTTGTGTTGTTGGCGTTAGCCTGCTACATGAAATCAAAAGAATTCTGATTGCATGTTAAACTGAATGTGGTTATTTCTAAATTTGACATATGTTTTGGTCACTGTGTTGTGTGCGCCCATCTGTGTGTGTCTGCAAACATATTTCCTAATCCCTGGCGAACAGATTTGGATGTTTTCCACTTTCCTCCCAGTTTGAGTATATTTGGTTGATAGACAGTGCCGGCACCTTGCCACTTTATATTCTGTTTGGCTCCCTGCCCTTGTAATGTCTGTGAATTTAATTTGATTGCAGCTGTAATCTGCCGGCTACTTAATTGACTCTGCATAGCTTGTGTCCCTCCTACCTTGATGGAGAAGGGTAGTTTGATAAGTTACAATGGGTTATCTGTTCCCTGTGAACCCGCACTCCTACATTGTATGGTTTGGTCTCTGGAGGGTCCTCCTCAAGAACCGGGTGAACTAATGTGATCTCGAGGGGAAAGCTGAGCTAACCAGAGTTTTGCTGTCATCTGTCTTGTTGTCACAGCAGACAGGGAGGTATGCCATGATGGCCCCCCTGATAAATTCAATTCTTATTAAAGCCATTTGCTCTGACAAAGCATCATCTGTCAAATGTGTCTGCTAAAAGCTTTTTTGGAGCTTTTAATGGTATCACAGGGTCTTCATCACCAGATGAATTTGAGTCTGTTGTCATGGAACCGTGCATGACTGAACTGTCAAACACAACTTTACAGCCAATGTGAACATGAGGTCCTGAAAGTGTTTAGAAAGTTGGAACTTCACTGCTGATGGAGACCATGGGAAGAGGCAAATGGCAAGACCTTGAGTGGGGCTGGGCAATTAACCATAATAAACAAAAAAGTAATCATTCATTAATCGCAAGTTAAAAGTTTGAAATAATCATGATATTGATTTGAAGTCATATCGCCAAGCCCTAACCTTGAGTGGAGATTAGTCGTTTTAGTGTCTTAAACCTAAACATGGCAACCACCCACCCTGACTTCCTACCCATGAAGAGCTGTCACACTTATTCAGTTGCAATATATTTCCTCCAAAATAAATAGCATATAACAGTATTTTGTAGGAGATGGGTTGCATTTGTTCAGCTGGCATAGGCTGAAGATACAGGCCATTAAAAGTAGTTCACAGTAGTGAAAGTGCAATGAGACCATGACCTAGATCCGGTCCTTGATTTAATGGTTCTGAACGCGTTTGAGTTTGTTATTGACAAAAAAGAGTAATCACGATGTAGGTTAATGGTTATAATTGTGTGATCAATTGTGCTGGTTTACATTATGTAGTTCAGTAGGTGGTCCGCTATACAGAGCAAAGAACGTCAAAGAGCCAGTGGCCTATATAGACAAACAAGAGAAAACCCATTAACTATAAGGCTTCAGGTCATTGATGACACAAAAATGGATCATTCAGGTTTGAACATACAGTATGTCCACAGTGGAATACAGGAGTGAAGAAAGGAACAACCTGCACCACTGAGCTGAGTGACGTTACTTTTGAACGTTTAGAAACACAGAGAGAATGGTGATTGTTCTCATAGACTAATTTAATTAACACTAACAAAAGGAACTTCATTAGGCTGTTTTCAGTTCATTAATAAAATGAATCTGACTGGGCACGAGCACAAACAAGATCTGCATCTTTACACACACACACACACACAGACACACACAAACACACACACACACACACACACATTACTGCACATACACACTCACATGGACACAAGTATCAGAATTATTCAGAGAAACTTACGGGTTGCCATAGTCCCAGACAACGCACTGAGGATCTGATGTACCCTGCAAGATACGGGGGGAGGGGGGGAAAGAGAAGATAAGCTGTTATTGCCAGTCGAAAGGAGTGAGTGAGAGGGGGAGGCAGAAAGGAGACAGAATAGCTCATTGCCAGAGGAGAGAGAGTGATGCTGCATGGGCGATGGAGAGAGGTAAACAGACAATGAAAGAGAAGGATTGAGACAGACAGTGGGAGGGAGAGATGGAGAAAGAGTCATTGTCAGAGGATAGAGCAGCAAATAGATGCTGCTGCTGCAGAAAGAGAGAAAGTGTGTGAGACAAAAAAAAAAAAGAAAAAAAAAAAAAGAAAAAAAAAAAAAGAAAAAAAAGAAAAGCTATTTCATGGACAATAATACAGAGCAAGTTGGGGTCATAAACATCCTGTTCTTTACTTAAATCCAACCACAGTGGACAGTTGTAAAGTAAAAAGTAAACAACTATGAAGCACTAAAATGTATTTAAGTATAACAAGTACTCATTGGGAAGAACTAGCCCTTTCAAAGTGTGTAAAGTCTCACCAAAGTCACATAAAGAGCTTAATAAACTCAGCTACTTCCCTTATCTCTAAACATCCTCATACGTGTTCAAGGAATTGATTAAAAACATGTTAAAAACCACATTAAAAAAAGCCATGTAATCCCTCAAAAACAGCTAAACGCTGGTGATTTCAACTCAGTCTTAATTCATTGACCCGCTGAAGCCACAAGCCAGTCACTGGGGGTCGACTGGCAGGTGAATCATCTGGTAATCAAAGCTCAGCGATGCGTAGTGGCAAAGGAAGACTTGCCATGACTCAATTGGTGAATCAATTGCAGGATCGATATCTTTAACTGACTCATCACAACTTGTTCCAGTGGTGATCTTTAAGGATCTCGCCTGTGCCCCTTCACCCTGTATACGTCATTTGGCCAGAATTAGATTGGAATTGGTTTTAAGTTTTTTTCTTTTTGTGGGTTCCCGATCTGGGTCAAAGATTCTTTTCCTTACATTCATTTGTAGATCAAAAGAATTGAAAGACTCAAGCTGGTGCCTTTGAGCTCAGAATGACAAACCTACCAATACATGTTCTGAGTCTTCTAGAGTAAGTGTGATCAGGCTTTTTGTTATCTGCTCACATTCTTCTACTGGGCTGATGCAGAGGAGTCTTTTGGTCCTTCCTCACTCCTACATTAAGCACTTTGCCTTTGAGCTCCCCCTTATGGTAAAGGGGATTATAGCAGTAATTCCGCAGCCATGCTGCTGTGTCCAGTACAAAAAGGATGATGTCCACTATAAGAAGACTCTCTTCGGCCTGAGGAAGATTTAAAGGAATTACCTCCTCTTGACTGAAGAGCAAAGGGAATGTTTTCTGAATATCAACAGAGTTTTAAGTGAGCGAAAAGGGAGAGAAGGAGGAGATCCACATTCAAGTCTGCACTATGAGGATTTATTTCTCTCTAGGCAAGGTCACCTCATCCTTCCCTGAACAGTTCATAACTGATCTCCCATGAATCAATGAATCCAGGGTGTCTCTGCATGGCTGGAATCGAGAGGACGGGATGATGCAAGGTTTATACACACAGGATCAGAGGCTAGCTGACACAGATTGATGGATGACAGCGCTTTGTTCTGCCTCACATGCAGAACACTGTTACTGACATTAGCTGTCCCCGGGCATGCATTAGTGTGGTGTGCTCTGTTAGCATTCAGCTATCAATCAGCGGGCATCATGCCCAACTGTATGCTACAGCAGGAGTGACATCCGTGTATTCCCACAATGTCTGCCTCCTCTTTAGTGCCGATACGTTGCATAATGACAGCGTCTGCTCGACTGATGCCTCTCAAAGGGAGCAACGTGTGTCTTATTCTAACAGCTGCATTTATGGACGATAATAATGGCGTCTAGTGTAACAGCTCTGTCTTCTCTCTCTCTTAAATGGAACTGCCAGTTTCTACAAGGTATTCACAAGCACATGGAGTAGTGGCTGTGAATCATATGAAACGAGCTACTGTAACAGAAGAAGACTGCACTGGTTCAGGGAGTCTTAAAAGACCTACACTTCATATCACAAATTATAGATTTCGAAAATGAAATGGAGCAACCTGGATGATGCTTTTTGATTGATCAAAGTAAACGAGATTGCAGTGAAGCTACCAGAAAGGCTTATGGGTGATGTTTGTAAAAGCTAACCAGAGCTGCCTTTTATTATCAAAAGGGCTAGATGAAGGAGGGGGGGTGGGGGGGGTGGGTACTTGGCATTTGGTCTACTGATCTACACAGGCCCTCCTGCTTCTTACTCCCCATTGAAAGCACACACACATACACACATGCACACAATTTGACACCAGGGAAATACATGGGGGTCTGACTGGAGCAGATGTCTTCTCAGTGAAGACATGACCACGCGCAGAGAGCCCACTTTCTTGCCTCCTCTGGTGCTCGTCTGCCGCAGCAGCTCAGCATTTTCTAAAGACGTTCAAGCCAAGCGGGGCAATGACGAACATCTAGTAGTTTTAACACTTCATTTGAAGTGTGCATGTACCTTGTTGTCTGTCAGTACTGGTAATTACTTTCAAGAAACCTCATTAAACTAGTTTAACTTTCTTTTTTGCAGTACAAAATGAAAATTATTTTTAAAGGAATAGTTCTACATTTTTGGGAAATACAATAATATATATCTGTATATTGAATATTGAATATGAAACTGGTTAGCTGCTGGTTAGCTTAGTTCAGCATAGAGGTTGAAAGCAGGGGAAAAGGGTTACAGTAGCTAGCTGGCTCTGTTCAACGGTGGCCTTTATAGGTGCTGTGTAAGGTAAGGGGATTTTCTTACATTTTGACAGTCAGGCTGGACAGAGTGTTCTCCCCCTGTGTCCAGTCGCTATGCTTAGCTCAGCTAACCCGCTGCTGGCTATAATTTCATTCTTTAGGAACAGAGATTGACTGTCTTCTGGTTTAACTCTTGGCAAGGATGCTAATGTTGGCCTTTGAGTGCAATATTACAAACACAAAAGGCTTTGGTTATAAAATACATGTGTTTTGTTTTATTTTGCTCTTATGAGCTGCTTAAACCCATATTAATGTCAAGTAGCAATTATGTATATGTGTGTCTATGACTAAGATCATGAGTACCAGTTACCAGATTTCAAATGAAATGATTATGCTAATCACTTGTGCCTTCAGCAGGAATGCAATTTCTGGTGTATGACTAAGTGTAGTTCGAATTAATTTGCTACATCACTCAACTCAACAAAACCATATTCCTCTTGGTGGTAGATAGACTGCGGTTCAACTTTTTCCCTGGACCTGAGCCTGCATTATAAACTCAAGGAAAGGAATTTTAAGGAAAGACACCATTCAGTTGCTTTATGGGAAATGCTTGATCATTTCTTGGTCTCTGCTGCATTGATTTTCATTATCCTTATGTCTTGTGAAGCCCAAAATGTATAAAAATGAGTGTAACTGTAAGTAGTTGGAGTACCCCTATAAGCAAGAGAAGAATGGCCTCACCATCACTGGTCAAGGGAATGCATACAGTATGTGCATCTGCCCTCCACAGTCTGTCCTAGCCCTGTGCTGCACTGTGTGCCAGGGAAGCGTCTGTCCTCAGCGGGAGCCTCCGGTTAGTAGTACAGAGCAGCATGCTGGGATCAGCATTAAGACATCATCCTCTAAACAGAGGGTGTGCAACCTGCAGTACCTCTGCTTTGCCAAAAGCGTTAAAAAGCAGAATAATAGGAAGATAAAAGATAGAGGCATATAAAAGAAAAGCCATAATTATGTAATGAATCAAGGGTTTAAGGCAGAGAGATGGAGTGGTGGGGGACGGAGAATTGAATACAAAGTCTTTTTAATGAAACACTGTGCAATAATTTTGACCCTCAGGTCCTGGTTGACACAGCAAGAGACCGATTTTATCGGAAGATTTTAGTATAGGTGTGTGTGTGTATGTGTGTGTGTGTATGTGTATGTGTGTGTATGGGTTTGTGCTGTCTGGAGAGAACCATTAAATATTCAACATTATTTTCAAAACTGTGACCACCTTTACACAGAAGAATGGCTAATGAAACCCACATCTTATTGAGGTCGTGAAGAGTGCCTCTCATTAAACTTGCACATCGTCCTTTCCACTGAAGACACCCCACGAGTCGTTTATAATAACACACTCCTCTGTAATATAAACTGAATAGGCACCAGGAGACACTGCGATATAAGGAAGTCAAAAAGGTCTGCGTTTATTCAAGCAATTCACCAAACGCTATGGTGCTTTATAGCATGCAGCACTTTCTCTTTCATCTGAACTCAGAAAACATGGGTCAGCAGGGAGAGGAGGAATCCTTTAAAGCCTTAAACAAATTTATTTTCATGGCCACGGCTTGTTCAATATATGGGTGTATGATAAAAAATGCAAAGACTTGCATTGGAAAGTGCTTCATATGGAATTATTTAGATTTTTGTTGCATGTAAAACTTTAATATTAATGGGAAAATAAAATGATTTTTGTGATGGTTAGAAGTTACTTTGAATGAATCTCCACAGTGGTTGAGAAAGTTTAGATGATTAAAAATGAGAGAGTGATATTCCACATTCCCTAATACACTATGTTTGAAATGATCCAGACCTTGAAGTCTTGTAACATGTTCAGTGATCAATAGCAGATACCTAGCTGTATTGGACAGTTGCCAGTGTTTTGCATAAAAATCACACACACATGAAAACAGTGTGGTTCTCATAGCAGGGGGAAAGAAAAAAGATTTTTTTTTAACTTACATTCAAAAGCGGTGACAGCTCCACAACCACCATGGGCTCGCTGGGTTGCGGTTCTGGTCGTACTGTCACTGTCAAGATCTTGGAGTTGATCACTGCAGGGGGACTAGAAAGATACAAACACACACAAGAGAATGGTGTTTTCAGAGATTTGAACTGCACATTCAACCTTGGTTTAAATTGTCTGAGTTTGAAGAATTACAAAAAAAAAAAGGAAAAAATACACCCATACAAACTCAGAAACAGGCATACACACCCAGTTATCTCCCTTGCTTTTGAGGGTTTTTGAGTGTGTCTGCAGAAATAAATAAATACATAAATAAATAACCATATAAATAAAAAGCTGATGAGAGAGGGAGAAAGCTAAAGAGAGCGCCTGAGTAAAAACAGAACACTGGACCTATTAGCATTCAGCAGAGCTACAGGGAGAAAAGGGTTTTAACAGATCCAGCTCTTCCACAACCAAGAGCACTGACCTGAATAAAAGGGCCCAGGGCCAGCACACACACCATATCACAGTGGCCTTTTGACAACCTCCTGATTTCTCCTGTCTTCAATTTTTTTTTTTTCAAGTTCTGTGTAAGTTTCAGGACCCATTAAGCCCACACCCATCCCAGGTCCACTGTACACTTCCAAAAATACATTGATAATGAAAAACAAAGGGAGAAGCATCTAGGGAAATGTACTTTATAGGAAATGAAATACATTTGTCTGATAACTAAACAGAAGCAAGGGAAGGAGGGAGGCAAGAGAAACGTTATAAGAGAGAAGACAGATGGAGAATTTGAGGTTGGAATTAGATAGAGAGAGGAAGCGACAGAAGAAAGGGAACAGAAATAGAAAGGTAGTGAGAATGGAAACAAAAAAACAAACAAAATAAAAGTGATTACACGGGAGATGAAAGTTGTCTGAAAGAGTGTTTAAATAGAGATGCAGAAAGGTAGTGAAGAGAAAAGGATGATATACAAATAAAGAATAATTAGACACTGGATGACATGAGAGGTACTCACTTTGGCATAGGTAAGATGACGCCCAACGTCCGGTACAGGATGGCTCCAATGACATAGTACATTGTAGACTCTGAGTCTGTCTCTGTCTCTGAAACACAGACAAGTTTACAACTCATCAGCCCAAATAGATGACATGGTTTTCCTTCAAAATCACCTTTAAAATCAAATCTGTAACTTTGTCCATCTGTTTATTTTGTATATTTGCTTTATCCTGTGCATAGGTACGAGATGCTGGAAAAAAAAAAGTTTCCTCTACGTATGAAATACTAAGCCACCATTGCCATTTTTACCTAAAAGACAAAGAGTAGGTTTTATTAATTCCTGTGCAGGGTAGATAGGTCATACAGTAATTAGTATATACTGTGAGGAAGAAATCAATATTTTAAACACAGCTAAGTAAAGTCGTATGTAAGTGACTAGTAACTAGATACAAAACATCTATTAGTTGGTGAGGCAAACAAGCGCAGACTTCACCTGTCTCATCAACCTGCAATTCCAGCTCAATTTACATTTACTCTTAAGCTGTCGCTGACAAATGCTCCGCTCACTACATCAAAATGAGAGAAGTTAGTAAATTCCAGCGCATTCCTGAAGCGTATGACAGCTACATATTCCACACTCCAACTAATTATGCTTCTGAGTTGAAAATGTAGTACTAATTCAGGTGAAAGATCCTGGTGTCACACTTTGTGTGGGTGCAGACACTATTTGAGTCAATTTGTTTGCCTTTTAGTAGCTAGTAACTCAACTATTGCTCAGCTAGACCTAATACAGCAGCCTCCTTTCTAAAAGCATCACTCAAAGGGGTAATTAACTTGATGAAAATGGAGCCAAAGTCAAGTCAAAGTGTTCCAGTCCTCTTTACACAATGCCCGTCACTCTTTCCCCTTGTTTCAAATCCCCTTTCTTTCCTTCCTTCTCCTCAGTGCTCTCATCCTCCTCTGTTGTTGTTACTATTCTCCAACCCACTTTTCAACTTCTCCATCCTCTTTCAACACTTCTTTTTCTTTTACAAGCGCTTGCCTTCCATCTCTCCCTTCAGGGTTCTTTTGACAAGAAAAGCAGGGGCTCCCAAGGAGACATAGTGTCCCCCTGTAAATGTCACTTTGTCTCAAGTGAGGGAGGCGGAAGGAAGCAGAGAGGAAAAGTAAGAGGGAAAGAGTTCATGTTGAGAGATGCCACTCCCTCCTTTGCCCTTTTAGGCTGAGAGAAGCGATGGAAGAGCATTGGCAGAAAGAGTGGGGGAGGAAGAGACAGAGGGGGGTTGATGGTATCAGACGCACTGGGTGACTCATCCAAAATCTGTCTGCGCTGTTGCCTAAGAGGTAATACTCAGAAAGAGAGATAGCTATGCGAGACAGACGTGGCGAGAAAGAGGAACAGACAAAAAGATCTCGACAGTGGGGGAAGAAAAAGCAATTGTGAGACTGTGAGGAGGCAAAAAAACAGATCAAAGTCGTGAGTGTGATGGATCCTAATTGGACAGTGTCTGCAAAGGCATGCAAATGAGAAAGTCAGTGTATTGTGGGTAAACGGTAAATCAGTGTGTGTGAGGGGGCGGCACTCCTACGCTCCTGTATGATTAATACCATGAAAAACACTTAGTCACAAAACTCCAATTTCCCATGACTTTTCGTCACTCTCTCCCTGCTGAACATTGAAGTGATTGGTGGTCAGCTGCAATCCAGCAAAATGGCAACCCACCAGTCACCAGCTGTGAACTTTAATATGTCATTTGTCAGCAAAAGATATGCTTGGAGTTGCTGCTAAGCCGTAATTTATGGTTTTAATCAAAGATCAAAAGCTCCATCCAAACAGCTCCATGTGAGTTACTCTTGTCCTTCGTTCCAAGCTTCTTTCTTCTGCACTTCTGCTTTTACTTCACAACTTTTGAACACAGCACAGACAAGTCTAAGATGTAAAACTACTGTAGAATAGCATTTTCTTTGAGCTAAATGAACAGAAACACAGGATAAAATACTCAAGCTTACAAATATGAATTGATGGCAATGCTAAATACTTATACTGCATATACTTAAATACTATAACTCAACACTAAAACAATTCTGTTTCATCTAATTTGGCTAATTCTAAACCCTTCAAGCTGTTGAATAATTTGACAAATTGAGAAATATGAATATTTGCTCTCCAACAATATCTCCATCAATAGTGCTTGCAGATCTGTGCTTTAAGTGTGGAGCTAGAACTAGGAGGCAGTTAGCTTAGCTTAGCTAAACAGGAAGCAGGGGTAAATGGTTTTGTCAAAGGTTCATACACTTCCCAACATCCCTGAAGCTACTAATTGTATCTATTGTAGAAACGGAAATGTAAAAATGATGAGTTGTGGTTTTACAGGGACTGCTTTTGTACACATTAATGATTTGTTATATGTGCTAACGGCCGTATCTTCCAGGCTAGCTGGTCGGCTAGCTCCCCCGCCCTCCAGTTTTTATGCTAAGCTATGCTATCCGTCTCCTGGTTATAGCTCCGTACGTAACACACAGACATAAAGGTGGCATCAATTTTCTCATTACACTCTCCTCAAGAGAGCCAATAAATGTGCTATTTCCTAAAATGTCAAACTGTTCTTATTAAAGACAAATAACTTTTGTTTTAGCAATTATCAACCAAAGTTAGATTTGTGTTGACAAATTGAACCTCAACATAGTTAAACTTCAAATCAGGAAGCCAGTCTTTCACATATTACTAGACAGCAGAGCTCATGTGGTTTGTGTTCTTACTTGACTAATACTCTAAAGTTAATGATGCATAACCATGTGCATGTACAAGCAATGGTGTAGGTGAAATATGAAGTCATTGCTGGCTTGTAAGCTGTGTTTGGATCTAGGTGTGTGCATGGCTGTGAGACAGAGTATGCTGTCTGTGTGTGTGTGTGTGTGTGTGTGTGTGTGAGAGAGAAAGAGAGAGACAGCGGAGGGAGAGAGGGACTTTGTCAACTCGAAAATCGGTGAAGAACAGTCCCAGTCTCTGCCCAGTGAAGCGATTCATGAACCTATAAATTGGCTGTGTGTATGTGCGCCTGTGTGCACACATGCACACACAAAGGTGCCAATGGACCTTTATGAGCATGTTTAAGCTGTCCATCTGAGATAGGCTTTCATTACGGGGTAAATGAACCAAACAAACTGATAGCAATCAACTGAAGACCTCAACTCATGGACTGCCAATGGGAAGAGGCAGAGTTCCCACAGGGGCAAGGAGTACTAATAATGTCCTATCTCATATGGCTTGGATGAAACAGTTTGCCAAATAGCATATGCTAAAAATGGCAATGGCATGTCCTGAATATCATATGTGAAAACGGCTGTGTAAATGTGATGCAGACGGTCACTTTCATTTCACAGCAAGCACAGCCAGAGATAAAACATTCACCACTGCAATATATGAGGATAAAAAAATGGACATGGGTGGAAATGAGCATAAAAAGCAGTAAAATAAAAGAGAGAATAATGGAGAATAAGAAAAAGGAAAACATTGCTAGCATTAAATAAGCTAGCTAACACCCCCGTCTCTAGTTGCAGCCTAAAATTCATCCTTTGAGATATGTGAATGTTCTGTTCCATAAAATGTGGGAAAACAACTCAAAGGCAATTCATAAAGAGATTCTGTTACACAAAGGGAAGGTGAATGGTTAGATGGTAGAATAAGCAAATTACATTGCACATAATAAAGAGACAGAGTGAGTGAGTTGAGGTGAGGCGCCCTCAGGTTGATGTACAGGATGTCTTGAATGCCAGTCAGAGAGATTCAGTGTCATCCCTGCTAGTGAGAGGTCAGAGACAGCTCCGCTCCCTCGGCCTGCAGCCTCTCTGAACTTTAATTTGGGGAGGGTATGGGGTGCCAGACAGGAAGTCTGCCAGTGTAATTTCCTGCGAGATGTGACCTTTGGCTTCGTTGGTAGTGGATCGCATCTGCCACAGTAATTCCCTTATCTAATATAAACCACTTTTTCCCCCCTGTCTCTTTTAAGTTCCTTTGTTTCCCCTCTACAACTTTTGCTCCTGTGCTTCCTGATACCTTCTTTCTCTTTATATTCGCCTCCATGATTTCCTTTTGTTGCGCTTGGACAATCGCTTTGCTCATTTCTTGGCTTCACTTGAAACCACGTGGAAAGAAATCAAAGCAGTTAAGACTAACAGCAGTTAACTTTCTCGTGCTGTTAAAAGCAAAGAGACATCTTTCAAAATTGTATGAGGACTTCATGCTCTCAAGGGGATGTAACAGACTTCTTCACACATGAAAGACCTGCATCTTCTTGAGAAGCCCTCCAGGGCCTCTTTACAGTCCAAATCCTTCTCAGCATTATCCTCCGATGTCCTTGGGAAGCCTTCCATGAGACACATCTCTAAGTGCGTGAACTCACACTGGGATAACTCTTCATGGCCAGCCGTCCGACCTTGGCTGAAGTGTTGAGTGGGGTGATAACAGGTCGAACTATGTCTAAGAATAAGCTACAACAGATCTGAATCATGGTGATGAGCTCAGAGCTCAAAACTGACTGAAGACAGACTGCTAGTGCTACTGTTTACCACCCGTTTAAGTCTTTTTCAGTGATGACCTCAGTCTTTTGACACGGGAGTACCTGCTCCCAGGTCTAGTTGATGATCGTTTCTATAAAACCCCTGAAACAAATACAACTAATCTTATGTTTACTGTATGTACATGGGCTGGACCTGACCTTCCAATACAATAAGTAGTGCAGATTCATACAAACAAACAAACCCTGGGTGGGTGGATATCTGTCTTAGTTCTCCTACCTTCAGTGGGGACGGTGAAGACCTCTTTAGGGATGTACAGCTTGTCCTCAGCTGTTCTGGCCCAGTCCTTCATCCCTCTCCGGCCCTTCATGGGGAAGTTGATATCACTGGAAACTGCAGACACCGGCTCTCGTTGGATGGTTATCACTGGACAAGGAAGAGATACCAAAATCACTTGAAAGTCACTGCAGCACAAAATTGGGACCAGAACAAAGAACACCGGCTAAGGATAAGATAGATGAGGTGAGCCAAAGACAGTGAAAGTAGAAGTACAAAAATGCTCCCCTCTTAAAAAGTCTCTGAGTCATGCTTAGTGTTAAAAGTCATGAATGAGGAAAGACAACGATTGACAAAGTTACACTGGATAAATTGTTGTGTTTGGTTCAATTTGACTGAGGAGAGAAAAATATTTTAAAAAAGCACACCCAAACTCAGATTTTTAGTTTCTAAAATATCTAAGTAAGTGAATGTCTTTAAATATTGGTGTTGGCGTGAAATAATCTGCCTCCATCAGACCTTGTCACGTGGCAGCATTGCGTGACACTTACTGAGGTTGTTCGTAACCACTAGAAAACTCTGAAAAGGCTTCTGGGCTTCTCCGATGAGGTGAATGAAATCCTCTAATATCCTCATCAGCAAAGCAGCACCGGGAGCGACCTGTGGACAGGAGGAGGGGGATGAAAAGCAGAGATGAGCATTGATCTTGATGTCATCATAATTATAATCCATGGCCAACTTTTTCGATGAGACATGTCTCACCCATTGAAACATTTTTATTCATTTCATTATCTAGACCAGTGATTGTGTTCCAGGGCGGTAAATTGCTACCACGTGGGATATAATATCATACTCGGCTGCTTGTTTATTGTGTCCAGATGGCAGGTAGCACACCTCAGCTCAAGGGCATCAAGCCGGGTCACACACAAAAAAAACACACAAATGTGCAAAGACACATACACATACCTAGTATAATTAACAGGTAGGCAGCATGTTTAGTAAAAAGGTGTGTTTTTATGACTCTAATAATGAAAAGTTAATGTGGGATGAGCAGACACTCGCAGCGCTTAACCACACACACACACACACACAAAGAAGATTTTACCTGGTGAGCGTCCTCCCACTTCTCTAGATTTTCCATGTCCAACATGTGACTGACTATCTGGAAGAATTTCTAGACACAAAATGAAGTAGCAGTTAACAGCAGAACCATCACACGGCATCATTAGGTATTTGTCCCCTGTGGTGTGTCTACCCTGAACCCACCATATACTGCAGCAGCTCTGCAGTTCATTCTCTGTGAGGTCTAGTACAGTAGTATTCAGTACATAAGCATATTGTGGAACATTAAATCACGTCTGTCAACTGACTCTCTGAGACAGGAGCATTTTGCTGAGAAATACACTGCTAAAAAAAATCCCCTTTGAGCCTGTAGAAACTGTGCAGCTGTAGTTCATTGTTATGCACACTCTCTATGGTAGAAAGTGGAGCTTCTACATGGAATTCATTTGGAGGTCTATCTGTGTGTGTGTGTGTGTGTGTGTGTGTGTGTGTGTGTGTGAGGCTGTGTTTATGACAACATCACTTTGTGCTGTTTGTGACTTGAGAGGGCTCAGGGAGAAGACTTGGTGCCTACCTGCACGTCGTCGGGAGCTGGGATGTAGGTTGCTCTTTTGAAGGTGTCCGTCACATTTCGCAAGATCTCCGTGGAAAAGAGAAGGTCGCCACTGTAGTAGCTCCTCCTCTGCAAGAGCTCCAGGAGACTCCTTACGATCTGAGACATGCCCTCCCCAGCCAGGGTCCTCTGACCCTTCGCGAGATGCTCTCGTAACTGCAGCGCGTAGAGAGAGACAGAAAAATGAGGAAAGCTGAGGGTTTCACCACCACCCGGCACAAAAAAGAAGAAAGATTAAACGCACGTCCGTCTGTGCTTAATTCAAAATGTAGCCGGTAAAAAATGTCAGAAACAGCGAGACCAAACAAACCAAAAATCATGTCTTTTCCAAAATAATCATAGAAATGTTTTGGATGGGAGCTGAGGGGGATGTTCTAAGACAGTGGTATATATATACGTATGTACAGTACATGATTGGATTTTTTTTTTTTTTTTTGTGCTTGTGCTTAAAATAGGCGAGCAAAAAACGGGCCTAGCAGCACTCTCGGGCAGAAATTGGTTTCTCATCACTTCAGAGAAAGCGATACAGAGAGCAAGACTCTGTGTGTGTGTGTGTGTGTGTGTGTGTGTGTGTGTGTGTGCGTGTGTGTGTGTGTGTGAAATGCAGAGAGAGGGGGAAGAAAGAGGGAGAGAGAGAGAGAGAGAGAGAGAGAGAGAGAGAGAGAGCCTGGAAGAAGAGAAGATAACAGCAATCACAGAAAATTAATTATTGACTCCTGGTGTTAATGAAAGGTTGGAACAGAAGCTAACAGAGCAATCAGCTCTGTCACGCACAATCCCTGACCCCCATCTCCTTCCACCATCATCGAGGAGATGGAAAAGGTTGAAGTTCACAGAGCAGGAAAACAGTCTGGCTGATGAACACATTCATTAGCTATGTTCATTAATTGATAAGTGTGAGCGCAGAGCTCTGTAAAAGCTAATTAGAGATATCGGCAAGCTTTGAGTAAAGAGACTCCTCTATTTTGAGTAAACTTTTTTTTTTTTTTTAAAAGAGAGTTGAACAGAGGTGCATGATGGGTGAAAAAAGGGGAAAACTGAGGCAGGACTTCTTGAATACAGGTAGAACCTACACATTCTCATAAACTCACTAATGAGTCAGACAAGTTTGATGAAGGTGAGTCAGAGGGTGATGCTGCAGCTAACTGCCTCAAATGATGTAACCTGTTTTAAACCTGTTTAAATTTTCTTCTTGCTGGATGGAAAATGTAATTTGTGGGAAGAGTTTCTGGGTTTGGGAGCACTTGTCGGTTAAAAGGGAACTTACAGATAAATGTAAATATCTATATTCAAGTGAGACGCATCTGGCGAAGCTCGGAGGACCCCAGAAAGCAACTCCATTATTGTCCAGCATGCAACGACGACTAGCAGATCCTGGAGGAAATGAGAGAGAGAGAAAAAAAAACATAATATGGAATTAAGCAAATTCAGAAATGAAATCTGCCCAAGGACCCATCATTATCCACAGTAATACTGGTGTCTATTCTGATATACAGCACAACATTACATTCTACATGATGCAGAGACATGGATCAGGATCTGTGGAGAAAGATGTTCACACTTCCTAAAAATCTTGTTTGAATTCTGAATTCCATTTATCATAAAGTCTGGGTAAAACACAGGGAGTCTGCCCAATGAATTTTAATAGATACAGGGAAAACAATTTGCAAAAGTATAACAGTGGCACAAAGGTCAAGTTTGTTATTTTCTTGGAGTAAAATAGTGTATCATTGTTACAACCACCAAATATTTCATTTGTAGGAGTTGTATAGTGTTTAATGCCTGCTGGCAGGTAGGAGATAAACCACGGCCAAAGTACTTTCCGAAGACAAAACTGCATCCTCTACCCGAATAAATATGTACTTGCTAAAACTCTGACTCTGCCTTTTTAGGAGTAATAGATTAGCATAAATAAACTGTAAAGTTTACATGTTAATTCAATTTGATCCATTGACTTAGCTCAAATGTAATGTTCAAGAGACAGTGGTTCTAAAAGTGAGGTTCCCAAAAAGGGGAATAATTTATTTTTACTATAATAACATGGGTTTTGTAATAAAACAACTAAAAGTAAAGATCTTATCAGATGGGGGACCCTAGGAAAAAGATTATCAAATGGGGATCCGTGGTCTAATTTGTGTGAGTTTAGGGGTCCTTGGTGTGAAAAAGTTTGAGAACCACTGTTTTAAGATATAATGTTTTACTGGCAAGCTACCTAATTCAGACAGGCATATTTTGATGTCGGAGCCAATGCCATAGTTTGAAAGATGTAGGAACACACTTTAGCTCTGGGCTTAAATAATAAAGAAGACGTGTCTAGAAAAAAAAAAAAAAAAATCAAGGTTTGTTCTTTCTTCACCTTTTGGAAGTTAAAAGAAAAACTCTGGCAGCCCGCTGTTTGAGAAACTCTGCGGTTTAGATTAACGGCACTGCGAGAAGTGACACACAAATAAGGTTTGACTGCATTCAAAGGGGACATGTCTGCTGGGCTAATTAAGAGAGGATGCTGGGTAATACATGAGTTGAAATCTTATAATGACTGCCCCAAAGTTAAAAATAGGAATACTACTTAAAGTCCAGCCATTTTGATGAGCCTTATACATTAATATAATTTCAGCATTTAAGTCTGAGCACCTATTTGCTCCAGACATAGGAACACAATGGATTTTGAAACACAGGCGGGGAGTCATGTAGGATATCCTGGTTATAATTTGATGTATTTTACAATGTTTCCTGCATTACTAATGAGATGATTGCTGTCCTGTTGTTGCACTGTACTTTCCAGATGTCACTTGAAGTCTAATGTTTGTCTAATGATATTTTTGTGGATGTTTTTGGTTGATTAAGTATGAGTTTCTGTAGGTTCTATATTTCCTCTCACTGCAGCAAGCTGCTTATGCTACATACCAGGTGGTAATGCACATTCATGGGGCTAACAAACCTCACATATTTCATCCTTATGACTGCTTGTGTTGTGCCGAGTGACAAGGTCATCATTTATATAGAAACATTACTGGCCAATGGTAATCACAAATTAACACAATCTGTGAATAATATACACTAACACATAGCAATAATAGCTTAAGGCACGTAATGTGACTGACCAGTGGCGTTAGTTGGACACTTGTTGTAGACAGTCTCTCCAGCCGAGGCTCTCTTCCACGACATAGCGAGAAGGTGCTCATCTTTACATATCTCGTGAGGAGCTGTAGCAGTAGGTGAGAAAACACATAGAAAAAGTGAAATGATGCACAGTGTATAGAGGGTTCGCAGAAAAAGAAAAAATCACCACGAACACACTCCCACAGACACACACATAGCCAGAGAAAAGACAAAAAAAAAGAGGGAGACAGAAAAGCACAAAAACAAGATTCAAATCAATGTTCTCCTGCAGCAGCTCCCAATCTTATTCCCTTGTACATTGCTCAGTGCTCTCCGTCAGTGTCACTGCCTCAGTACAGTATCTCATTCCCTCTTCATCTTACCCCCTCTCTTTATTCATCTGTTTTCCCCCCCTCCCTCTCTTTCATAACCCTGATGAAAAAATGGGGGAGAGTGCTCTGAAGATATTCCGAGGGGGCAGACGAGTGTTGGCAGAGGCAGTGCAGAGAGATGAAGAGGGACGGAGAGCAAAGAGAGAGAGACATACAGAAAACGAGAAAATGTGATATGATGTTCCCCCTGCAACGCCAACAGACAAGATCCTCGTCTTGCGTGGAAGAGACTTGAGAGCCACTCAAAACAAAGGGGTCACGGTGGAGGCTGCACTCCAGCATTTATCATCTGTAGCCTGTCAGAGCTCGACGCAAGCACGCACATATGTGGCTTTCAGGCTCGTACAGAAAACACACTTGAATATTCACCATGCGCGGCACACACAAAGCTCAGTCAAGAGACATGCTTATTAAACCGCACTGTTTCCTGCGGTGGCTGACACTCTGACAAATCGCACCAAGTGGACCATTGAACATGTTTCCGTCAACCAGGCAGGGGAATACAGAGAGAAATAAAAGCAAGAGAGAGACAATGAGGAAGATGAAAGTGGAGAGATTGTGATATGTAACCGTTTGGGCACCTATGCTTTTGTTGATTTTTGAAGTGAAGAGCACAAAATACAACCCCAGCAGCAAACACCCCACTAAGTCAGCACTACAGACGTAACCTCTCCTTTAATGTTTGTTTGTTGCAGGGGTTGTAAATGTATATCCTTCTTCTCACTTAACAAAAAATCAATAAAATATGTAATTTGCCCTGTGGTGCCCAAATTTTTGTATATAACTGTAAAAGGACAAAAATGGAGTAACTCACAGGTACATAAAGGACAAAAGGAAAGCACCACAAGGCAAGGACATGCAATATCAATGAGGAGGTAAAGATGGATGGGTATACGAGTCGACAGAGAGACAGACAAGTGACAGATAAAGCAAAGAAGAGTGCCAGTCTAAAATTGTGATGGAAGCCTTTGGCGGTGGTGAAAATCACCTCCATTTTGCCTTACAAATACTGCACATGTGCAGATTGGGCACACACACACACACACACACACACACACACTCCTTTTTTCTGTCAGGTACCCAACTAGGAGAGGTGTGCAGAGAAACAGAACAGAACAAAAATAACGAAAGTGTTTACAGATTTTTCAAGCATGAATAATATATACACAAGCATATACTGTGGTTTTGAGTCACTGACCAGGGCATTTCTTCTCGTTACAGGACCGGACTTCCTCTCCTGAGCCATCGCAGGGGTAGCCCTGTACACCGGTGCCCTCACACATCCTGAAGCGACGCTGCCAACCGGAGTCACATGTCTTGCTGCAGAGACTCCAGTGGTTCCAGCTGCCCCAGTTACCTCCACCTAGAACAGCAGCAAAGCACCGCAAGTGAAAATCAGGGAAATAGAAGCAAGAGTGGAGTGTAAGGTGGGAAAGAAAAAAAATGAGGCCTGTTGATGGATAGTAAATTTAACTGACAACTCTAAGGCAGCGGCTTCTAAGCTTCCTCTATTTTTTACAGTGGAAGCCAAATTAAAGCTACACAAGCCAATTCTGAGACCCATGCTCATTAAAACACACTAGTATTTTTGTGCTCTGGGGCCCTGGACGAAACAGACTCACAAGCCAAATTGGGTCCCAACCCACAAATTGAAAATATGCGAGAGGCAAATCAGAAAAGACCACGCAGATGCCGTTAGATAATGCATGTTCCATGTTTGCATAATGGCGTTTGGGAGCATGTGAGTGTGAATACTAAGCATTAATTTGTACGCCTTACCGCCGCATGAAGGGTTGGTGCATTCTCTGCTCTCCTGATGGGGGCCCTTACATTCAGCCCAGCCGTGCACCGACGCACTGCAGCGTCTCTGCCTCTGCTGGGTCCCCGTGTTACAAGTCACGCTGCATCTCGACCACGGCCCCCACTCCAACCACTGGCCCTCAACTGGACACAGGCACAGAGAGAGAGAGAGAGATGGAGGTAGATAAAGAGAGACAGGGGTGGGGATGAAGTTGGAAGGAGGAAGATTTTGAGAGACATGTGGATAAATTGATCCAGATATTTGAAGAGAAGGAAGAAGAGGATGTAAGGGAGAAGGAAGGTGCAGAGGAAGAAAAGAGACAGGGCAGAGAAAGTGAGTTGGCTACAAGAAAACAGAATAAACAATGAGTTAAGACGGAGTACAAAGAAATTACAGAGGCTATTTGGTTTTCCAAAATTAGCAACAAACAAACATAACACACTTCATGGTTCTATGGACATTTTAAATATTTCAATCTGTTACGAAATAGCTGATTACAATTCCTTTCATGCTTTGTTTTAAACAGTTCATACAGAGTACAGCCAGTTGGATTTTTCATTCAGTGTTATTAGAAAAGAACCGCATTTCAACTCTTGACTGGTGTTTGTGGAGAAATAGATAAAAAGAAAAAAAAGATATTTTCAATATAATGCAATACCGCCTGTCAGACGGCGCACGAATACCAAACAGTTGAACGAAAGCCTGACGACATGCACCGGTGTAATCAAAGCCCCCACTGTCTCCTTTAATAAGGGAGTGTTGCTGGAGTAATTGAGTTGCCAAACAAAATACACAAGATGCACAAAAAAAAGGAAAAAAAAATCTATGATAATCAAAAACAGTCAGATGAATCATTTATAGTCTGTGTAATCAAATATTTCTGATATTTTAGTAGCGTCAAAGTTGGTGATAGTTTAGACAATTCTGAGGCTCTCTGCCTCAGAAAAGAACACAATGTTCTCGTGTGGAAATGCTTGACTGCAAGTGAAGGTCTGTGACAAATAAAATGTAAGTGAACACTTCACGCTTCCTGATACATATTCCTGATTGGAAATCTCTGTAACAAAAACTTTACTCCAGTTGAATGTGTTGAGGGGTTAACATCTAAAATTCTACCTGTAGCAACTGTAAACATGAGAAAGCCATTTTTTAAGAGGGTTTTTATTGTAATATTGTCACAACAATGTTGGTTTGGTTTACGCATTAATTACCTGCACTGAATAGTTTATTGTTATTCTCAAATAAATTATTTTTGCTTTCTCTGCCACTGTCGCAGAAACACATATTCCTGGAGGTAATCATTTAAAATGACAAACAGTCCTGTTGGCAGCAGTGTCACTTACGTAAATCCAACTCATGTGTTGCCTCCGGTTTTGTTACTGATGTGGATTTCAGCTATGCTTTGAATTGTTTCTGCTTGTCATATTTTACAACAGAACTCCAACAAATTGAAATTGGGAATGATTATTTGATGATGACATTTGCCCATGAAATATATTTTGATTGTGGGAATAAAACAAGCTGAAGACATCAAATTGACATACAATCACCTTAAAATGTTGATGAGGCCGACTACTGATAGTGGGCTTATCAGGGCTTTTTTTTTGCTGAATGACGTTGCCTGCTGCAGGTAACAAGAGACTGGGCGGGACTGAACCAAATCAGTAAAGCTGTGGGCTGTAAAAGAGCTAAAAGACACTAAAACACAGGTTGGTAAATACATTTGGTCTCAGGACAAATTTTTCCTAATCCATCAGATGACTGGCCAGAACATAATCAAAGGCTGATTTAAGAAATAGATTGATTAAAAATGCAACTGGAATTTGCTTTATTACTGTTCATGTGTGACGCTGTAGCCCCCAGCTGCATATTATATGTTTCAATTATTTACTGAACTGGTGTTATTTTTTGGCACATTACACTTCGTATGCCTGTTATGTCGGAGGTCTGTCAAGAAAGCAACAGAACCTTTGGAACCTCCCGTCAGAACTTTTCAGAATAAAGGGTCACAATAGCTTGAAAAAAAAAGCATTGCTGCAAAAAATAAACAAAAACAAAACAAAAATAAAGAACTTTCTTGTGCTTTTATTTTGTAGGCAAAATCGCTAAAGAGGAAGTGATTCTGTGGGTAACTGTTTCTGCCACAACAGAGATCTATTTTAGTCCCAGGCGCTGTGCACTGACTACAGTGCAGCCCGCAGCCTGATGTGTGTTTGTCTGTCATTCACTCTAAATATGGATAAAAGCATTCTTCTGTTGGGGCTAGATTCTCTATTTGGACATTATAGCTATGTGTTGGACAGTCACTTCAATATTGTAAGATTTAAAAAGATTGATTTGAATTTGAATTCAAAATAATATGGTGGGCCAGATATTAATACTGGCAGAACAGTTTTGGCCCGTGGGCTGCCAGTTTCCGACCACTGCACTAAAACATGTCATGTAAGACAAGCTAAGAGAAGCTGATGGAGGGAGAATTCTCTGTGTGGTCATCACTCCAAATGAAAACTTTCACTTCTTATTCAGTGTAAAGATAAAAATATTGAGTACTGCAGCTTTACATTTTGATTAGCACTAATTGAATAAACTGAGCAGAATTGTGTTTGCCTTTACTGACAACAAATTAGTTTTACATATACTACATGTGCTATTATTGAACATGAGTTCTAAGACTATACAGTAGCCTGTCTATATTACCAACAGCAGCAATTCAAAGTGAGAACCGTTCTTGTATCGGCTCAGAATGATATATTGATATACACATTCTACAGAAAGGGGCTTAAAGCAGCAGAGAAAGTGGAGTACAGTGCTGTAAATGTATTTGTCTGGTTCTCCCAAGCGGGAAGGCTTTGCCAACTCTCCTTGGTAATGTGGTCAATCACACTGTGTGTGACTCGTACAGCGTTCCAACTATCTGGGTCTAACACTATGTTGGAGATGACAGCTAGAATTGAAATGTGAACATGGCATTTCCCAGGATTAATCCTGTGTAATTAAAGTGCTAAATCTGAAAATGCCTTTTAAAAGACAAACAAACCAGAAGAATCCTTATTTTCCTATCATAGTGAAAACACTTGCTTCTCAAACACATGAACGTGCACAATCACACACGCACAAAAAATGTCATTAACACATAAATATTGTTTGTGCAGAAAAGAAAACGCATTTAGAGCAAAATCTGTAAGCTCAAAGTTGCACCAAAACTGTTTTCAATCACTGGCAGGAACGATATTGCTTCCATGCAAGACAAGCTACAGTACATTTATGGGAAGACGGTTCCCAGCAGGGCCAACAAGCACCGTGTCAACAAACAAAGGAGGGTAGCACGGCAGCTCTCTGGTAAGAAGCTTTTATCTTGCCAAAGCCACAAAATATCAATATGCCTGTAATTAAGACATCATCATTAATCCCTGCATATGCTTGGCTATGAACTGACAATTTATATTGTGAGAAAAAAATGTAGGTGTCAGGGAACTTAAAGGCAATTTCCAGCCAGCTCTCTGCCTACACACGAGTGCCTTCTTAGTTCTCGCTGTGAGCTCTAAAAGGTCTAATATGATCAAATTAATTATTCATGAATGACATTTCTCTTGATTTTACTCTTAGACTGTTGATTGTCTTTATGTGATGCTGCAGCTGTCACATTAACATCTGCAGCTCTGCCCACATATGCATGCATTTTTTTTGATGTGTTAGCTTAGCATGTGTCAACATAAGAGACGAGCCAGTGTGAAGAGGGGTGAGAAATTATTCTAAGAGTCCAATTTAATTAATGTAAATCTGCACTGGTGTACCATACTGTGCTATAGATTGGATAGAGTATGCTGTATGGCGCAGTTTACAATCTACAGAGTATCTGCAATGATATCAAGTCTCTGAGGCACAAACACAAGCATGCACCAAGACACGCAAGCGCGCAGACACACACACACACACACACACATATAGACAAGATGCATCAAAGCTCTATTCTCTGTGCATGGACGTTTTCTGGCAAAAGGCCTATGCTGGTATTCATCATTTCAAAGGACGATTGCCTTTGAACTCCCAAAAGCACGCTGAGTCTGTTGTGATGCACACACATACACAAACACATAAACCGTATGAAAACACACATACACAGATTTCCTTAAGGCCCTTGAAAGGAAGAGCCTACCCTTTCTCCCAAACCCTCTCTTTCCATCACTGTTCCCAAAACAGCATGGCAAAACATCCCGGAGGCCATACTTTAGATTACGACGTCTCCATATTCCTCCCTTTTGGAGACATAACTTTGCAGCCTCTTTGTCTGGCAATGGGGACAGTTTTGTTTTATTTAAATATTAACCTTATAAAAACCCCTGCTTTTAAAGACATAAGAAAAAGCAAAACAAAAATAAATAAATAAAAGACAGACTCCGCTACATTTACATAATGTAAAGGCAATATACATGCACAGACCAGAAGAAAATGATACAGGATTCTTTGCCATAGCAATAATAAGTAAGAAGCACTTACCCTATGATAATTACTTGAGCTGTGAGTGATTACATACTATACAAGCACACACACTCAGACTGAAATCAATTCAGGGAAAAAAACGGATATTATTCAGAAGGCAGCCACCAACACTGTTTCAAACCGTCCTACGTTTCAGTGTCTGTGTGTCCATTAATACCATTATTTCAATGTTGTGCCGAAACCATTTATATTTTGCCAACAGAGAAGGCTCTGAACAAATTAAATCACTGAAATGAATATTCCTTTATAAAGTCAATGCTTTCAAGGTAAGTGGTTTTCTAAAGGGACACTTGAAATACTAAATTAAAATTGCACAGAGTCAATGCATATGCCTAAAGTATACTTGAAGTCGTAAAATGCCAAAGGCATTTCCTTAATGCCAGAGTAAGTACATTTTGGTATTTACATATCAGGAGATAATATGAAGTTTCTATCTAGAAAGCTGCTCTATAATAAGCTACAGTCATTCTTGGTCAAACCTGCCTCTCAGAGTCTGATCCACTGAGACTCTATATCAATCACTGGTCAATCCTATTTGACTCCAATGGCAGGCTGATAAAGATGTTTCAAGCTGAGCCAGACTGGAATAAAATCCTGTGGTACCCTCGACACAAGAATAAGATGAGGCTGCACCAGGGAGTTA